TCGAACTCCGGAATAGTCCTGGCGTCGAACGCCGGAGTCACCTCCATCACCGCTCTTCCCGCGGCGTCACTGGTCTCCTCCTCGACACTCGGCATCTTCTCACCACTTGTCAGAAAAATGCCGAAATAGCTTGTGGCATTCAAACCTTGCGTCTATCGTAGACTGTATTTCTTCACCCTTCTTACATCTCAACGCGCACACCGACCCGTCCTCTCTCTCTCTCCCGCCCTGCTCTCCACTGCCCGCCCGTCTCCCATTGTCCAGCCGGGCCGCCCGATATACGGGCCGGCGTGTCCCTGCTGCCGCGCACATGTGTGGCACATGGACCTCGATTTATGACCACTTATGACCCGACGCCGACCCTACGCGACAAGGCTAGAATACAAACTATGTGAACAAACAGAGAGACACAATATGATTGCAAAATATGAAGTGAATGGAAAGAAAACATTTGCTCATGTATGTTCCTTTGCACACTGTAGTTCATAAGTATTATCAGTGGGAAAAGGGCTGTTTTACACGATGCAATCAATGATTTCTACAAACGGTTTGTATTAGGTAATTGACTTTTGGGGAACGGGTCCAACTGGTCCCGATTCCAACTTAGACCGGGTCCGACTGGTTCCAGAGATGTCCAGCCGGGTCTGGTTCGAGTCTGGTTCCCAAAATTTTCACGTTTTGCCACCTCTAGATCAAAGCAGGAGTAATTTGTAGGCATCATTTCGTGATAACTTGATATCACCTGGTGAGCCACAGACTTCTGCATGTCTCGGTATACAGAGGTATATGGGTGACCTAAGCTTGAACGCTCTCAGCCTGGGATTAACCCGCGCCGGGCTGGTGCTCCGCGACTTCCGCGCCGGGCGGTGAGGGGGGTGTCTGGTCTAACTCGGCTCCTGGGTCACGTAGCGACACGCAGTAAGCATCATTCGAAAGAGCGTCAAAAATAATGACGGAAACACTTCGGTCATTTTTTGGGTCAGGTCAAAGGTCAGGTCGCCTGAGGTCATCGAAGGTCAAATGTAGGCCATTTCAACAATTTTGGAAACTGCAACGGCTAACTCGGGACCAATAGAGCTACAGCGCCGCGGAAAAGCGCATTCGATAGCCCTTTTACAGACCTTTCTGACCATTGTTCTCAGATTTGACCTAAGGTCAACGACCTAAGGTCAACTCAGTAAAATAGCAGTTTTCACGAAAACTGTTTTTCGGCAATAACTTTTGACTTAAGAGTGCCACGACATTACTTTTGGCAGCATCATGTTCCTCTCGTCGAGACGCGTCGAATGAACTATTTTTTTTACCTTAAATGGTCATTTTTAAAATTTGACCTCAGGTCAAGGTCATAACCTGACCGAAAAGGGTCATGTTGCATTTCAGTCGATCCGTATCGTCGAGCTGAATACATCTGAAGTGTTTTCATCGCTCTAGCACGCCTTTATCAAAAGTTACAGCCAAAAAACTGGTGGTGACCGTCTATCACCTGAGATGACCTCAAGGGCACACAGAGGGGTCACAGGTGCATTTTTTCCGATTCAGTGTATCATGTTTACCTATGAAACGATGTTTGAGAGGGTTCTAAATACCATTCGTCCAAAAAAGGCTCATTTCAATTTTCTCCCATTGACTTATAATGGAGAGGTCGCAAAATTGACCTGACCATAGGTCACTGATATCAAAATTCCGAGATAAACATTTTAGACATACTGTTACTCTTATCAATCGCTGAAAGTTTCAAGGCGATCGTTCGTCGGTGTAGCTATGACGAGGATTGCAACTTTTTTTCTGAGGTGAGGTCTTTTGACGTGACCTGGTGACCTGACCTTGAGAGCTCTGGGTCTGAAATTTGCACATGTGTAAAAAAAAAGATGCATGAACAGGTGTGCCAAAAACGGCGGCGCGGAGTTTTGAGATATCTGCGAAAAACCGCAGGGGAGGTGTTCACTCCCCCCCCCCGGCCCGGCGCGGGCGGGGGGGGGGGGCAATTTTTTATTTTTTTCGATGAGGGCAAATTTTTGCCACTGGTTTGCTTCTAGAACACGTGCGGAAAAGATGCAGTATGAAGTGTGTTCTTAACTTAAAAGGGGAGGCGTAAAAACGTCCCTTGCTTCTGCGTGGGGTGAAGTTCTACAGATTTGTTTCTTTAATCTCGCCTTTTTATCAGTTGTTTTTTCTTTTCTTTTTGTCAATTCATCAGTTCGTCTCGTTTCTTTAGAAGAACTAGGGGAGAACGGGGTCAATTGTAACATTTTTTGCATTTTATCATCTGGTGCAAACACGTTTGCAGCTATAAAGCTCTTTCTTTTATTTTCAGAAACTATGATGTTTTGTCTTTAAAATGCAGTTAAAACATTTCCGAAATAGCTTCTTTTTCGGGTCAAAATTGTTGTTCGAAAAAGTCAATTCAGCTGTTACAATTCGCCCCAGATACGGGGTCAAAAGTAACACCATCCGGGGACAATTGTAACATGTTCATTTACAGGCTACAGCAACACAATTTTTTCCAAAACTTTGATTTAACAAAAGTATTGAACACTTGTTTATCTTCCCAGACTTGGTAGGGACGGTTCTTCTCAGGAAGAAGGCAATAAAACCTCGCACTTATACAGGGGTTGGATGGACCTCCTCTCCCTTGGTTTTTCGCAAATAAATCGCGTAAAAAGCTGCCGATTGCGACAAAACTCACAGTTCTCTTAATTCTAGCAATGTTTCATCTCCCTTGAAAATTTGACGACTTTGACATAATGGCCACTGACCTATAACCTGTTACATTTGACCCCTGCAAAAATGTTACAATTGTCCCCGTCGCGCCTTGACATATTTTAGACGAAACATGGCGCAAAAAGATGTTGCATGTAGGCAGCATTTAATGCTTTCAATTTATCGACAACAAGCCTGCCAACGCTTACACAAACTCTGAAGTCGATATCTTTTCAATGGCGGGAATGAGCTAATCAAATATAACGGCATAAAAATCTACAAAATGCTCTCAAAAACACATTACTGTGCACAGCCATCGACATACCCGGCACTTTCGCTTCAAACTCCGTTGGGAAAGGCAGTATAGAATTACGCATTTTCGGTCTGAACATCAGCTCATTCTATTGGTAAGTTTATGAATTATTAACACTGTTACAATTGCCCCGTGTTACATTTGACCCCGCTCTCCCCTACCATATGCGTTGTTTAATAAGGCGTCACTACCCTGGTCCCCAATTCCACTACCCGCCCCCGGTCTCTGGTCCCCAAAGTGCTTTCAAAATGTATTTGGTTACAAAATAATTCCGCGCTTTTGGCGCGCTATTTCAGAAAAAAACTGCAACATAACGTGCCAAAACACGACGGCACAAAAACAACGTGCTATGGTAAAAAAATGCTGCCGTAAACTGAAATAAGACTTATTTCTAGACAGTCACGGGGAGGCGCCCCCATGCCCTTAAAAAGGCGCCCCCGACAGCGTTGCCCCCCCAACGAAAACCAAAAAGTTACGCCCCTGACAGGATCAGACGCAAGAACCACCAATAAAGAACCCAGAACCAGCAAGCGCCATGCAATCAAGAGCAGCCATGATAGCGTTTGATTAACTTTCAGAAAACCCTGGAAGACGCCAGACGGTGAGCAATCAAGAGATCTTACAAGACCAGTAGTTACTTGAAAATGAGAACCGCCAGGAAAATCAGTAGATTCTTCAATTGCAACACATTTCAACATCTATCTAGCAATGATTTGCAGTTTGCACCAGCGAGGTGCTATCATTGTGTTTTGTGTCTGTATCCCTATAAACTGCTCAAAAATATTTGTCAATAAATAAACAAACAAACAATAATGCGTCTATTTCTACTGAAAGTAAGTCCTCCAAGTGGCAGGGGATGAATAATAGAAGGTACCTACCTAATTTATTGTCCTCTATTCATTCAATTCATAGGCAATTCAGGGCATCGATCGGCAGCGCCCTTACTGCATGGTACTGCGGATCGTCAATGGGTTTCTTGATGACTCCGACTCTCACTCAGACTTTCAAAAATCAACTGACTTTGATTTCAAATATCGGCTCTGACTGACTCCGACTCCACACTTCACAGCCCTAGCAGGTCTGCGGAGGCAATGGATTTTTGGTGACTCAGACTCCGACTCTGGCTTTCAAAATCGACTCTGACTCTGACTCTGGTCAGAACTGTCGACTTCGATCGACTACAACTCCGACTACGGAACCCTGAAAGGTCTGCCTGGTGACTGACTCAGACTCCAGCTTTTAAAATCGACTCTGACTCTGACTCGACGACTCAGGTCAGAACTATCGACTCCGACCGACTACAACTCCGACTACGGAACCCTGAAAGGTCTGCGGAGGGGATCGAATTTCGGTGACTGACTCAGATTCCAGCTTTTAAAATCGACTCTGACTCGACGACTCAGGTCAGAACTGTCAATTCCGACCGACTTCATGACTCCGACTCCGGAGCCCTACTGGCAGTTATCACGCCAGGAAGCTGCAAATCGTATGTTCTGTGGCGGTTTATGGCATTAAAGTCGATAATGCGGCTGAATCGCACTATGAAACACCCTTATTGGCTGCAAGAACCACGAATGATAGCGCATCACCACTGGAAAACGTGACAAGTTATCCATTAATTGGCCCTGGATTTGGATAAATAACATGTTGATGATCATATTAGCACACATTTACATTATCATCTATCTCAGGGTTGCCCTTCAGGCGGCTCTAAACTTTGGCATTTTCCCTATCTTCAACATGTAAATGCCCTCGGGCGTCCTCGTGGTGACGTAGGCATGGGAGTGCCAGGTTGGTAGGAACTAGACTTCGACGCCCCCTGAGTAAATCCAGCCAATTAGCGGCACACGTTTCTGTCGATTTACATTTATCTTGTCGCTACCGCTTGCGGATAAGGATTTTGAACGGAATTTGTCGACAATCCTTCATGAACGCCTATCGCACTCTTTTCAATTGTTGTTTTTCTACCAGTACCTCTGTCATTTTTGCTCTTTTGCTATATGCAGGGGTGGCTAGTGTGCCTATTTTTTTCCCCAGTGCATTCAAATTGATATCACGCTAAATGCATAACATAAAATAATTTATGACACATTTACCTTTTTCTCAGGACTCTGTTTTTGTCCATGGCGACTTTTTGTTTTACGTGCAGGGCCGGTTTGGGTTGTCTTTAATTTGTGAGCTTATGAAATTGAAATTGGAGTTGGTAGGTAGGAAAGCTACCTACTACATGCCTCTAACAAATGTTTGCTGCAGTTTTATATGCTTATAGTCAAGCCTGACTGATGTGTTATTAAAGAATCAAGATGAAGAAAACAAAACAAAGCTACAGTTCAAGCTTATGGGCAGAAGGAAATATGCCACTCCTCAAATAAGTTTTTTTGCCTTAGTTTTATAATTTCATACGCTTAAAATGATAACAAATGAAAATGATTTTTAGATATTTAAATATAGGAAGATCTATTTTCTATCTTTGATAGAGGCAAGCAGTGCTAGTGGCGAAAGCCTATTACACATTGACCAATCATGTTGCATGCTTCAACACCAACTGCACTCTGATTGGCTGACATTGGCTTCTGCCAGAAGTGGGTGCATTCTCTGCATTCCTCGGTAAGCCGTAAGGCACCACATTTCAGCTTAACCCACACCCTGGTCAGGTGGGGGCTTATAACACCCTGTTTATAACGCGACCTGGCTGGGGGGGGGCTATTTTTTGTTCCCCCTCGTATCTCTGAAACTACTGAATGGATCCACAAAATTCAAACGGTGTTCAATAGCCCTGTTAAATCTGTCAAGGAAAATCTAATTTCATTGACCTCGGAGTCACTGATGACGTCACAAGTCAAGTCAAAGATAAAATGTTTTTTCTGGTCATGGGTCTTCTAGGGAATGCGCTATAACATCAAGTAAAACTCATTTTATCGAAAATCAGTGATAGGGCGTCAGTTGCCTTGTACACTACATGTGTTGCTAATTGCTATTAGAGGTCACTGATAGTACCAGGTCAGGTCACCAAGGGTCAGCACATGAACCCAATTTTGCTAGGGCTGTGTGATGCATGTTTTGTTTTATGGCCAATTTTTCATTTCAAACTCAATAGTGTTGGTTATAAGACCATCAGGAACAGTTTAAGTCACTTCATGGTGGACAGGTAAAAAAGGTCAAATTTGGAAGTTGGTATTTTGGCATAAAATAAGTATCGATTCGATGCAGCTCTTCACGGCGAGTCTAATGGTGGTCTTTGTTTTGCGTTACGTGGTCTAGAATTGCTAAAAATTGAGTTCGAAAATTTGACATCATCAATGTTGAACAGTTTTTTGGATATAACTTGGCCCAAAAAAGAGATATCGATCTCAAATTTGGTATGTGAATAGAAAGCGGTAGGGACTATCACTTATGTTCCGTTTTTCGAAATTCAGAAAACTTCTTTGGATTTTTTGCCTATTATATTAACAAAATACCATTTGATTTTTGGGGATCAAAATCCAAAAATTTCAAAAATCCGACATAGCAGTTTTGTAGTCCTGTTAATTCTACACCTTTTATGTCAAAAACATTTTTCTGTATCTCTAAAGCTGTAGGCCCGACAGCTCGTCCCACGAAACCTTTTTTTGGGTCGAAAATGGCAGAACATGACGTTACTCTGACGTCATTTGCGGCCAACCTATCATAGCCTTTGGAAAAATTTTAGTCACGATGTGTAAAATTGATGCCCTGGAGAGTACTGAAAGTTTGGTGACGATCGGCGCAGCGGTTCTGGAGATATATCGAAAAGTCTGGAGGGGGGGGGGGGCAAAAAATAATCCCCTCCCTCCCCCACCAGGGCGCGGGTTAATGAACACTGTTTTTGGAATGAGAATTAAAATATCCTTGCTTATGGTGATCGTTAAGCGGAAAAAGTAGTTAGGTATGGCTAATGAATTTTTCTTGGCTATAATTAGTTATTAAATGTTAAAAAACAATTAAAATACCTTTGTTATTCCAGGTTTACCGAACTTCACCCAGAGATGCTCATGTGCTGGTGATATATTTATCTAGTTTTATTAAGACTACAAGGGAATCAGCTTTTTATAGCTATGGCAACATCATCTCTTACTAAGGTGAGAATCATTTGTATGCAGCCGATAGGCGATACTGACATCTAGTGTTTGTGAGCCTGATGAGTCTTAAAATGCACTTTTGAAGTGCCTCTGATCTGTTTTTGTTTGTTTGGTACACTGATAGGTATTGTACTATTTTTCCAGTCCTGTTTTGTATTCAAACCCAAGTCTGGTGGGTCTAGCTCAGCGGCTCTAGACAGCAGCCAATACTTTGCTGGCCTCTCCGATGACATGGGTATCCAGTCTGCTGAACGAAGGAGCCAGACATTCAACTCTACATGGCAGACAGCTGAGAAACTGTGCACAGTAAGTGGAGGCAAGCAAACAACAGAACTGAAGCAGGGTCTATGGGGTTTAACAACAGTAAAGCAGCTCCTCCAAAAGTACCTGTCTAGCACATCTCTGCTCAACTTTAACACGGAAATAGACACTATGCAAACACTATAGATAAACACGATGTTGGCAACCACTGCTCTCTTTACAAGCCAAACATGCCCGCTGTCAGCAGAAACCTTAAAGTCAGCACATTCTTACCGCCATCATGCTGTATTGATATGTGACTGTATGCATTTGTGCAGGACTTCCAAGAGGAAATGTTCAACACTGTGTTCCACGAGATGATTGAGTACCTGCAGGGCTCTGTTGACATTGAGGAGGACGCTGGTATTCCTACTGCCACCCTCATCACAGGTAAGTCATGACAATTAGTAAGTACCTAGTTGACAACATGATTGGCTCATTTGTTTTTAGCAGACATTACATATATGTGATAGGCAATTGCTAAAGCAGATGCAGGCATTGCATCTTTTTCTTTTTGTAAACTCTGTCTACATTATAGGTAATGTATAAATGGTGCTTTGTTGTAGTTGTCAGACCTGAGACCAGTCAGATTCTGCCTCTGGACACATTTTCTACCCAAATCGTGCCACTCGGAAAGTCGACCATCTGGCACATGTCGCCCTTCCTTTGACGCCTACTCGTCCGTTTCTTCGGCCAGGTGTGAACATGCCCGACCACACCGGCGTGTTCCGTTCACTGGCCGAGCGGCTCCGAGCGCAGGTCACTGCGCACGTGGCCGTACTGGAGGCGGCCTCGTGCACCACCGTCCAGGCCACCGTGCGCGCCATGGTGCGCCAGCTCACTGCGGCTGGGGAGGTGAGCTGGCCGTCCGGAGGGGAGCGGGGCTGCCGGAGAGCTGCCAAACAATGCAGCGTCGTCTTGTGGGTGACTGATATGCCGTGAGCACTGAGCAGTGAATGCTGAGACATGGATCTTAGTCATCGTTGATATTTTTGTAACCAAGTTGCAATGTAGGTGCTATGTATGTAGTTTTATTTTATTTTATGCGGAAGTGCTTACCTACAAGTGCAAAAAAGGAATAAGCACCATAGTACCTATAACGTTGCTATTCACCGCTCCTCGCTGCAACAACCACATTGACTGCATCGATTACCTATAACCTCGGATCCAGTATGTATGTATGTCCGACGCTTGCTGGCACGCCAAACAGCACCGGAGACCGTGTACCTTTACCTCACCAGTCGGCGCTACGACGCGCTGGCAGCGTTCACAGCCAACGACAATAGCAGTTGTTACCGGAGGTTTTGGGAGGTCGATATCATGGCTACTCACGGATAGCCCAGCAACACTGGCGGGCGTTCCGCGTCCTCTCACAGTACTGGCAAGGTGAACGTCCTGTTGTTGTTCCATCCGCCTGCCTTTGCCTCTGTTTTTAGGCCGTCGTGTCTTTGCGTTCACGTATCCGCCCGTCCGCCTCGCCTCGACCTGTCTTGTTCTTTCTGTTTGGGTGAAGATCGCCTCTCTGTGTAACATCAGTCGCTCAGTCTCGTCTCTCCTTACTTCAGCCGCTGAGTCCGGACGTTCCTGTGGTCGATGAAGACGACGAGGACGACTGTTTGCTGGACGTACCCGATCAGACCAGCCGCCAGCGTCGGGCGCCTGCCACCATGCCGGCGCTAGTGGCGCACTATGAAGCGGCACAGGAGACGGTCGCCTCGCCAAAGAAAAGTAGGTACTAAGTGACATTTTGTTACAGGTACTGATCATGTGAATGGTTTTTGAGTGAATGTATGTAAGCATTGGAGGTGTCACCCTTAAGACCTGCTTAGACTTGAGTGCAATCCTAGGAGTTCTCTGATTAAATAGGTTTTGATTTGTCCTTACGAGCGTATTCGTGGTCTTGACACTTTATCCTCTAATTCGATACGCTCGTAAACTCCAAATTGCTAGCGAGCTGCACCAACATCTCGATGGCAGACTGATGTGTGCATTGTGACGTGACAGGGTCTCCGCGGAAGAGAGCAAGGACAGCACCGCAGCGCCGACCCTTGGTGGTGGTCTGGAGAGACCTGGAGGCGTTTCAACCCCGCGTGCTGCAGGACCTGGTCCTCATCTGCAGGTGAGCAATGAGCATGCTGTCCTACATGGGGTGATGTCGATTGAACGTGCTGTACTTGAATGAAGTGGACTTGAACTCAGCAGCTAGAATGACGCGAATGCAAAATATGATTAGAAACATACACAATGCAAATTGCTATCGTGTTTCTAGCAGGCCTTTTAGATAATATTCTCGAAAATTGTGTCGTGAAAGTGATCTCTTAAAATTTGCAATAGATAGTTTGTCATCAGATCGTCAACGCTCGACTGTCATTCAGCCTAAGAGATAGCCAGACGGGAGACTGGCTTATGGAGTTCCTCAAAGATCTCTCAGGATATCAACCACTGGAGTGAACGACGCCCACACTCGCACACAAATCGCATTGGATCTGCATCGCATGACACTTTGTTTGGCCACTGTGTGCTCGTTTCAGCCAGTACCGCTCCCGGCTGCCCATCTCGTTTGTGTTCGGCGTGTCGACGTGCGCGTCAGCCGTGCACCGGCTGCTGCCCCAGCACGTCTCCGCGCGCCTCAGTCTGCACAAGTTCCACTCCCAGCTGGCTACCCACTGTCTGGCCGAGATGATTGACAAGGTGGGTGAAATGATGGTGCTAAGGTGATTGACACAACACACGGGCGCTGGCTATGCCCGTGTGTTTTGTGGGCATCCCTTTCTGGTGACCCGACGTTGTGGAAAAGCAGTCGGATGAGCCACGTGAACAGGGCCCAATCCTCCCAGCGCAGCGACCATTTTTAACGCTGGTGGTAATGACTACAGACACCGCCGGCTGATCCAATGTCTCTTTTTGTGCCGTGTCAGGTGTTGCTGTCTCCGTCCATGCCGTTCCGGCTGGGAGGGCGCGCGCTGCGGCTGCTGCTGGACATCTTTCTCTACCACGACTTCTCCGTCAACAACTTCATCTCGGCGTACAAGGTATAGTCGGTCAAATATGTATCTTTCCCGGCCGGCCCTCCCCACGCTGGACAGGTCGGTAACTTGGCTGAATCCGCCGGCCGCTGCGAGTACTACGGAGGGGAGGGGACAGGTTGTGCGGTTGCCGCGTCGGCCAATGAGCGCGGACCTGGCGAGCGGGCTGGGGCCACGGCGTGTTGACCTAATATGGTCAAAGGTTCATGCCCTGCGGGTATGGTCTGCGGCCAGCTGGCCCACTGATTGAGCCACAGCACCGGGTCGCGGAAAGGTTTCGATAGGTATCTGAATTGGAGAGTGGAGACCGTTAGCTTGAACTTGAGTGTAGTCGCTCTAGGTTTGAGATGCCGTATCACTGCATCTGCATATCAACAGTTGTAGCTTTGGTGCAAGTTCAAACTTTTTGTGACGTTAGGTCACTCAAACCGACCTGTTGACCTGACCTTAAGTCATATAAGGTCAAAATTCGCACACAGTATGCGCAATAGATGGAAAAACAGGTATGCAAAATTTGGTGGCGCTGCACGCCGCCGTTTTTCGGCTATCTGCGAAAAACCTGGGGGGGGGGCGCAAATCGCCCCCCCCCCGGCCCGGCGCAGGTTAAGATTTTCAGTAGATATGGCTTAACGCTTTCCCGTTAATGCCAAAAAAAGTTTTTGCTTTATCAAAAAATAACCGGTCATAATTCGATTAAATATTTCTCTTGCGCTAATCATCATATCACCAAGCATTCGATCGTATCAAGAGCAACCATCTTAATTTTTAGGTCAGCGACCCCTGTTGAAACACCAGATAATCCTTTGATAGCTCATAGCACTCAGTCTACAATTTACACGGCGCATGAAAGCACAGCCATCATTAGATCATCGCGCTGCCCTCACATTCGTTAGATTCCTAACGCATCCGCTTGCTCGCCTCTCCCGGCCAGACCCGCCGGAGCACCCGGCGGCGAGGCCGTCCAGTGCTGGTCTGCGGTCACTCTCCAGCCGGCCGCTGTGTAGCTCCGCCCCCCGCGCGTAACGTCACAGGGCCGCCAGAGCCGCCAGGGCAGCTGGGGTGTGGGCTCAGCCAACTATCGAATCCAGACCGTAGCGCCACTTGGCGGCCGGGAAAGATACATATTTGACCGACTATACTAGAAATGGCCCCTGCACTGGTCGACTGCTGTGTACCGGATTGGTATACTACTTGCTAGTTTGAGAAACTAGACGCTCGAGGCGAACTTTTAGTTGTTCGTCATAACGAACTGCCGAAGTGATCCTTGTATTATTTAATCCATTCATATTCCATTCATTCATTCATTCATTCATTCATTCATTCATTCGCTTTTTAGATAATGATTACATGTGTGATTTTAACTGCTATGGGCGCCGTTGACCACTGTAGTCCGGGCGCCCAAAAACCCCAATTCATCATCATCATCATCATCGATTTTAACTGTTGATGCAAACTTCCTGACTAAATTATCCCTCGCATAATATGCGAAATTCCTATTATATTTCATATGTGTTACGCTTATATGACACAAACATAATATGCACATGATGTTCTGTCAGTATTTTAGTGGTGATCTTACGACTGGACTACACGCCTGTATTCGCTCACTGTCCGGCCCAGCATCTAACACCCGCTGCTTCCCCTGCTCCTGCCGTCAGTTCTGCATGCTCAGCCACTTCCTCTGGTCACCGGCGAGCGCGCTCTGCTGCGAGCCCGGTCAGCTGGAGGAGAGAGTGGAGGAGCTGACGGGCGCCCAGGTGGCCGGGCTCCGTGCTCTGCCCTCGGTGCGCGCCTACCTGGACGATTTAGAACAGGAGGAGAGGCACACACTGCAACATGATGGGGTGTTTAAGGTGAGGGTGGACGGGGAGGAGGGGCGGATATGATACCACAGGATGTGGTTGGGCTGAGAGACCAGCACAGGACTCATATGTTGGGTGAACTCATTAATGGAGATACTCGGGGACGAGGGTGATAGACTCAGTCGAGGACCACGTCTGCATACCAGATTAATGATAATGTAGTTATCTCGTTCAAAAGATACGTTTGGTTGTGTCGTCTTGTCTCTTTAATTTTGTGTTGATAAAGCAAGCGTTTTCTATCTTACATATTATCATACGTATGACGAGCTATTGATGCTTGAATTATAGCTCGCATGCTGTTTTTTGTTCCATCCGTGTGTTAGCTCGTATCATTATCTTTGCGTTTCACACCTCTGATTAGCGTTTCGCCGCTGCGTGTCTGTGTTGGTCAGGAGTGGGTGCTGCACATGGCGCCAAAACTGCACTCCAAACACGAAGAACTGCTGGTCGGACTACGCTGTCTGTTTGCGCTCACCAAGCGACTGCCGGGCGCGCTGCTTGGAAAACAGGTCAGTCTACCCGCTCCCTAGAACAGAAGCATCACTATACGAGTAGAGTTGGCGAATACTCCTTAACCCTGAATATAAAGGCAGACAAAACGACGCTGCTTTGTGTATTGATGCGCCCATCTGTGGTCTAAATCGGCGTAATATTTGCATAAGAAGGGATCCGTTATTTTCCAGTAACTCCTGTAAATTACTGTGATTAGAGCCGCCAGTTAATTATGCACCGAGTGAGTGTAGGCCTTGTGTGGTTCAAAAACATTCTTATGCCTTTTTTCATTTGAATGCCAGGATTCGTTGAAAAGATGAAGTTGTCTGATTTTATGACCATATATGGTCATCGCTCCGCCCACTCCAGCCGCTGATTGGCTAATCCAATTTTTGTTTGGCTCCTCGTAGTTTCCCCAACTGAGTTGCCGGTGATAATGTTTTTACTGTAGGTATCGCGGTTTACCGCATCAGCCATCAACACCTCTGAGTTTGACCCTACCACCTTTCCTTTACGTCCTTATCTTCTGCTGCCCCAGTTCCGCGAGGCGTACAACCTGGCGCTGCTGCACGCGCTGCCGGAGAGGGACGAGTACAAGCGCACCTTCCAGCTGCTCAATATGCTCTCCCGCCAGGAGCTCACTGCCACGCTGGAGCACGCACTGGAGGCAGTGTCAGGTGGGGACGTGCTTATGGCGTAGTGGATCGGTTCTTTGGTACTCGGGATGCTCGTGTGTGATGTTGATTTGTAATCGGCTGGATAGTAGATACATTTTTGCAGTATAATCAGTACACCGTATTTTCACGTAGTTTTTATGTTATACTCCTGTCCTGATTGATTTATAAATTTGAATCGGAAGGACCCTCTATCACCTGACCATTTTTATGCGCCGTCTTCAACTTTGTGACTACATCACCGCTCCAGTTATACACTAAGATTCAATGCTCTCACTGTGTATTGAAAGGGCTAACCGTCAACCTATACTATAATGCTAATCGAGCCCCTTCCTGCGCCCAGGCTCCGGCAGCGCTCTGTCCACCCTGCTGAGGACCCAGCTGGACCGGGTGCGCGCGCTGGACGACCGGCCGACGCCCGTCTCGGCCGAGGAGAGCAGCCAACAGCGCCGACTGGTGGCCGACACACTCAAACAGGCCACCAGCCGGCAGTCGCTGCGAGAGGTGCGTGTGTATGAGTGGCACCATGGGAGGGGAGGCTTCTGGTAGAGGGGTTTGGTGGATGGGTTTCAGGGGTAGGTTTCAAAGTGGTGTATGAAGCTGCTGAGAAAGTGAGGGTTGTGTAGGGATGGTATTATGCCTAAAGTGTCTCTGTTTTATGCAATGCAATGATGTGATGCGTAGCTCAACCTGATATGCTTGCACATTGTCGTTTGCTTGAACGTGTTCTTTGGCGCGTCTAGGTGTCAATACTGCCGATGGTCCTGTACACGAAAATGCAGAGTACAACCAGAGACCCTATAAACTAGTCGTATTTTGTAATTATATTGCCTCTACTCCTCGATTGATCGCTGCTTCACCGCCATCCTCCTCCCCACTATACCTAATTCGCATCCCTCCCCTCCCCATTATGTGTAACTCCTACCTCCACCCCTCCCCTCAACACAGAGCTTACAGTCGATGGGCGCGGCGCGGAACGCCCGGCTGAACCCGTACGAGACGCTGCGGTCGGCGCTGCTGGCCGAACTAGACGAACACCTGCGCGGACTCATCGTACAGCCTTCCAAATGGCCGTTCAATGTGAGTGGGCTCGACGTGCAGTGGAAAGGGACCAGACTGGCGCGGTGGCTGGACGAGACGATCGCAGCACTCTTGTATGTAGGAGTGGAAGGCATGTCGAGCTGGCGTTAGTTGGGGGTGCCAGCTGTACGAATATAAGGTAGTGGAGTAGCGTATGATATTCTCGATACCGGAGTTTGTTGTGTTTGGCGAGAATTGTGTGGTGTTTAATGGTTTTTCCAGTGTATTGTGTTAAGTCAGGAATTATGTGGTGTTTGATGGCGTTTCCTGTGTTGTGTTTGGTGAGGAACTGTGTGGTGTTTGATGGCGTTTCCTCTCCCTCTCCAGGAGTGTGTGGTGTTTGATGGCTTAACCTCTGTTCCCCAGGAGTGTTTGTTGTTTGATGGCGCACCCTCCGTTTCCAGGAGTGTGTGGTGTTTGATGACGTGTCTCTGGTCCGACGGAGGCTGGTCGGCGCTCCTCGGTCCTCTGTACAGACGGCGCTCGCCGACCCGGCCAAGTACCTGCAGTGTACCTGCTGCCAGGTGAGTCACATCCCCGTCACCTAAGTGAGCAGCTCATCCCCTTATCCGAGTTTACATCACGCCGTCCGCTGGGCTGAAACTGGGCAGCACACTGTCTCACAAGGTGAACACTGCACCTAGTCTCATTCTGGCACGCATTGCCACTGGCCTGTTAGGCCGCCTGCGGTCCATTGGATGGGCTTTGCAACGTCACTTTGGCACTGCGATCCTTGTGTTGCTAGACGGCATGATCACAGCTGGAGGCCGGTAATCCATAATTGTTCCGGCTATTGTTAGTGGTCTTGCTTGTTTTTATACTCCTCTGTAAATAGTGGATTGTTCTACGGAGTAAATTACCTTGAATACCAACCTTTTTTTAATCAGACGTGAACCACCACTTATGTCGTGGCTCACCGTGTCGGTGATCCCCATTGAGCCCTCGCCTCTTGTTTGCGCAGCTGGGAGACGCCGCGTCCATTCGGCCCACCATGCCCGATCTGTGTATCGTCTACAAACTGCACCTCGAGTGCGGCCGTCTGATCAACCTGTTCGACTGGATGCAGGCGTTCAGAGCGGTGGTGGGCGCGTCGGACGACGATCAGACCATACAGTATCCTTTGTACACGCCAAGAGGCTTGGAGGTGTATGTAGGGCATTGTAGGGGGACGGGAGCTTTGAGCGTGATGAAGTGTAACGTATTCCGTTATGGCAGGTTATCTGCGGCGTCAAGATTTGTGAACCACTATGAATACGTTCAAGTTCGGTTTGCTACAGCTTGATGGTGTTCGGTGGTTCAATGTTTTTCAATGACAGATCTATCGTTAATTATCTTTTTTATAGAATTTTACCTTCTTTTTTCCTGACAAGTATTGCATTAATGTACCTTCTTCATTGCAAGATGCGTGTATAACCTTGTCAGTTACCACCACCAGGCTATGGTTGTGCATGCCCTGATTCGTTTTTCGAATTGATTCCTATTGTTGACCATGTACTCCAGTACCAGCCATTCTCCTTAACTCGCGTGTTCAGAGCGCGGTTCGCCCACTGTGTGGCCGAACTACAGTTCCTAGGATTTATCAAGTCGACCCAGCGGAAAACTGACCACGTGGCTCGGCTGACCTGGGGCTCGTGCTGAGCTGAGCTGAGCTGAGCTGAGCTGCCTGACCCAGCTGCCCGGTCAGTCCAGTGCTGTGGGACCCGTTTTAGAATAGGTTCACAGCCTGCTTATGTGATTTGTGTTTGTCGGTCACAGCAAGCGAACGCTTGTTGAACTCACTGCCATAGTTCAGAAATGATGCCCTGTGATGACGTCACTCAGTGATGTCGTTAGTTGCCCACAGTCATTCTTTCAACGTTTTCCCGCCCCGCTAGGGAATCGGAATCTGCTACAGGTACAAAGCCTTGATTGTGTGATGGCGGATGTTTTGAATACATGCCTTTTTGTAGTAATCATGATTGAAGGCAGTACATAATAGCTCATTTCTTTGATGATGTAATGAGTGAGTTTAGCCAGCCCATGATTTTAAATCATGATGCTCAGCACTTTGATTGTTTGAGCAATGTCTTTATGGACCAAAGCGCGTCGGATAAGCTTGCAATTTGTCATTTTTGTTGCATTAGGTTCAATTGAAATTCATGGAATGAATTTGAATGAATTTGAAATTCATTGATTGGGAAGAATTTTTGGCCAAGTAGGATTATTCTGATTTATATTACTGACAAAACGACACGGAATGCTTCTGGAAATCATTTTCGAGGTATACATTACAACTCCGCATAAGATGCTACACAATATGCATTGCAAAGCTCTGTGAAAATACTTATTGCTCATGTGCCATATAACTATAAACCACAATATTATTTGGTCAAGTCACAATATCCCTTGGTCAGCATCAACGGTTCCATAGCCTCCTCCATTCACGGTTCAGTCCTTTTCCACATCTTTCTTCGGCCGCCATGAGTCTCTGGCGTTTGTTATGACGATACTGGCTGCGATGGTGGCATCGTCTTCTTGAGGACCATGAGACGCCTTCACCTGGAATCGTCAAATAGGAACGCTCAGTTTTGAGCATGGGTAGTGTATGGTGCATATGCGCCGCGAGTGTGGTTAGCCTTTACTTTTGATGCATTCAACTGTTGAGAATGAAGGCGACATTAAAACGAGGTATTGGAACACACTGCAACGAAGTTTGATAGGCTGTGACACGTTTGTGTATGAACTTGCAAAGAAGTTTCAGCTAAATGACCGGCACACAAGTAAAAAGCCTCACCTTTGCGTTCGTAGGTCGTCGCGTCAGAAGTTTTATCGTCACGAAGTACAATATTTCGGCAATGGATACGATAGAAAAGCCGAGGAATAGTCCGAGAAGACCACCGACGTTCGCTGAAAAAAAATAGAGAAAAGTTTGGTAACGGGGCATCATTAACCGTGCTTTTAACGATTGCCTGCAGATGAGGCCGATGGACTGTTTCCATTGCAAAGGGATGTCGCTGGAGAAAGCTCACAGGCGCGCATGCTCTTTGTTTGATTTACACAACTGGTACTGGTATGAGAGGTTTGTCGGTACCAAGATTCTTACAGATAGTCGGTACAACAGTATCTGGGACAAATACTAGTTTTTTGGGGGGGGCTTTTGGGAATTCAAAAGGCGCTGTTGTGGTACGGATCATGTGCTAACACACCTAAAAAGGGGAGCATTATGCATGTATGACTGTTCAGCCAGAGCAGTGCACTCACCAACAAGCTGGTCCGTGGTGTACAGAACACCGCGCTTGTACCGTGTGATGGAGTTGCTCTTGAAGTACGCGTGCACTTTGACCATGTTTGCCCTGCGGTAGATCAAGGCAGAACGTTACCGTTTGAGACACAAGGGTTTGCCTGCACAAATGACAAGAAATCATCGCTATTTTCTTGTCGTTTGGAGCTAATGAATTCGTTGTAACAATCATCGTTATAACAATATCTAGGGATACTCATTAAAAGAGGAAAGGTCAGTTACCATTGTCCTAGGAAACAACACATGCAAGCGTCTGCCGTCTGGCGAAAAATCGTTTCGCAATTAAATTTAGTAGGTATACATGTATAGTTGTTAGAAAATTGCTGCCATGTAAAAGCCCCCAGAGGCTCCTTGCTGCCCCACTGATATGTAATTCCGTTCACCTGGCGTATCGGACGGCGGCTGCGTAGAGGGCATTGGCGTCGTGTTCGTTAGCCGACGGAAGGAGGTGGCCCTCAGTGGCGCCCGATAGTAGAGCTGCCAGTTTATCCCTGTCGGTCGAGTCCGGATACTGTCCTGAGGCGATGGCGTCGCACAGGGCGGCCAGCTCCGTCTCCTGTGTGAAACGCCAGGGAAGGTGACGATTTTTACCGAAGTCGACCCCAGATCATTATCAACATTCTACATTTTTCTGAACAAACAGTGACTCTGAATACCCAGACATTAACCCAGTCTGTGTGAACGTACGCAAGGAGCTTTTGTCGCTGAATGCACGAGATGTGCTCCCTTTCATGTTTAGCAATCACACACCTTCAAATGTATGCATGATTCACGGCCTAACTGATATTTCATTTTCACACATCCTTTAGCCTCGAAACGGGCCTCAGTCGGCACCTTTCTCTCACCTCCAGCGTTAGTTTGTCGTGGTGAACCGCCTTGCACATACTGGCCACTATCAGTTGCACAGTATCTCCAAAGGAGGGGTGTGAGATCAGCTCCCGGCTGGGAAACTCCGAACTGGACGTGTACGGTAGATATTTTATCTCGTCGCAGGCGGGCAGACACTTCCGCCATGCCTCCTCTGATTGTCGCAGGTCCTTGGAGGCGTTGTCTGAAAGACGTGGATTAGTTTGTTCAGGCCCTTGGGAGGCATTGTTTGAAAATGTGGATTAGTTTGTTCAGGCCTTTGGGGGCAGTATCTGAAAGGTTATCGTGTTAGATACTGAATGGTGCACTGAACATGACTGATTGAGTTGTCAGCTGATTGAACAAAGGCTTACGTGTCACGTATAAGTCATTTGATTATCTGACATGAATGTGACATGCTAGCGCTAGAAACAATGATAAACCGATGAACCCTCGTTTTATCGAGGCAATGACGAGAAAGGTTTGTTTGGCGGCAGTTGCTCCTATCCATAACTTTTAAGTTTCGCACACATAAGGTCAGGGGTGTTGATTCATCGTCAACCGCCTTTTTGGAAGTTCATGAGTTTCTCTTGTTTCGTGTTATTTTTAATTACCTACTTTTTTACTTGATTAGTGCCTTGTATTAGTCATTTTGTTCAGTAACACGTAATATGGCCAATTTGTCGAGGCCGCTCGGGGCCGGGGTATTCCATATCATCAGCGCCTCATTAGACAAGCGAGTGCCGTGCGATTACCTGGCAAATGTACCTCGGTGGGCTAGAGCTACCTATTTGTTGGCTGTATCGGTTTACTTACATGTCAGGCGTCTGAGACAGGGTAAATGATCCTCCTCGCATATTGTCCCATTGCCTGAAATTCATTTTGTGCGTTATTGTATCGCATGAATTAGGTAGGGAGAACGACATATTCACTATTATGGTGTACGTGATGTCGTAGGCATACATATTACATACACAACATATTCTTATGGAAAAGCTGTTGTGCGCAGCCAGGTCAATTCTGATTCCAATCACCGATTTAAATACCGAATCAAGGACATGTCGGCCAATCAGTATGTAAACCATGGAAATGGAGACATTCACATTTATGTAAGCAGCTTAAATCAGCCAATCCCATGTCTGCCCAGCGTTCAGCCAGCCTCTATTGCAGCTCCTATACTGACCGGGCATGTAGTGTGCCACGCAGCCACAGCCTTCGTGGATCCGCGCCGTCAGGTGGCTGAGAAGACAGTTGGACAGCGTGTAGACGTGGGTGTCGGCGAATTCCAGCTCCACCTCGTGCTGCTCGAAACAGTTCCTCTGCTCCGGCGTGAACGAGTGAAGCGCCTCGTCTGTGAAGAGGAAGGGTTGACGTGTGATCGATGAGTGGGGTGACTGGGTGAGAGTAAGCAATTTTTGTGCATCGAACAATTCCAGCAATCGTGAATGGAATCAAATTCAACGTGTACCGATAAATGGCACGGAACTCTGAAAATAAAATGTTCCAATGCAGTTATAGTGAATCTTGCAACGTCTGAAGAAAATCAATCTGAAAACATAATGGCACTGATCATTATCTTCCCGCTGTGTCTAGTCCTTGACAGAGACCTGCCGACTTTCGACCTGACCTGACCTAACCTGCGGCTAAACCCTGATGACTTCCTCCCTGGTCCACTTGAACCCTGCCCAGACTGACCTGTGGTGTAGACGTGCTCAGCCGTGATGGAAATGAACATCTCATTTCCGGGCTGGATGGCCAGACCTCGCTCACGGACCTCTGGCTCGTCATACGGTGCGTGGATCAGCACCTGGGTGTATGTTAGGGTGGGGGAGGAGGTGCCAAGTCATGACGACCGTCTTATGGAGAACTTGGGCCGGTTATATATGTGGACGGTTGATAATTCACCAGGAAGCTATAAGCTACCACACTCAATGAATCGTTGTGCTCTTGATAACTGAGGGTAGAACGGCAATGCTGGTTGAATTCGACGTGTTTTTCTTCGCTAGGGTCTCCTAACGTACGTCAAGACACTCGAATCGTATCCATGGACCTGCTGAGTTAATAATGAAAGTAAAATACCTATCCCATTGAGGGGTACTGGGATGGGAGTACTGACCTTGAATCCCACGGAGAGGTACTGGGATGAGGTACTGACCTTGAATCCCACGGAGAGGTACTGGGAGTGCGAGTACTGACCTTGAATCCCACGGAGAGGTACTGGGAGTGCGAGTACTCGTAGCGCCGCGCGTCCAGCATCATGCTGAGTCCGTTCGTGTAGCCGGCGCCCGTGTGCTTGTCGTCCTTAGCATGTTCGCCGCTGCAACATACGCAGCGGCAAACATTGTGGGAAAGCAGATCAGAGTGGCGGCTCATATGTCATCAATAAAGGCATAAAGCTTTAAAAACATGGCTTTCCAGTTTCCATGAAAACAAAACCAAGTTCTTTGAAACGCCTGTAAAAGTCGGAATTCAACTGATCGGTGTATCTAATAGTTAGTTACCGATATTACACCATACTGATTTCTTGCTGTCTTTCATTCAGTTTATCAGGTGGATTACCCCGCCCTGTCTGACCTGGTGTTGTCAGGTAGATTACCCCCTCCCTGTCTGACCTCGTGTTGTCAGGTAGATTACCCCCTCCCTGTCTGACCTCGTGTTGTCAGGTAGATTACCCCCTCCCTGTCTGACCTCGTGTTGTCAGGTGGATTGTCCCCCCCCCCCCCGCCCTGTCTGACCTCGTGTTGATCAGGCCCTGTCTGACCTTGTGTTGTCAGGTGGTTTACCCCGCCCTGTCTGACCTCGTATTGTCAGGTGGATTGCCCCCCCCCCCCGCCCTGTCTGACCTCGTGTTGTCAGGTGGATTATCCCGCCCTGTCTGACCTCGTGTTGTCAGGTGGATTACCCCGCCCCGTCTGACCTCGTGTTTTCCTATTCCCGGGAACATTGAGAACGGTCCCTGCGGTGTTGGAGTGAAGGGATGTGCATTGTGCAGACGCTACGCTGAATTATGCCCGTATTATTTATTAGTTTTAGCATCCGATAATCACTGTGCAAGGTATTGCATTTCTCCCTTTCCACTAAATATCCCAATGAAACTTTTACCTGGCTCGGTGTTCTATATAAATGGCAATTCCCAGATAACACATTTATCTCTGTAGCCATTTCACTGATTTGTGTCCATTAACCCGCGCCCCAGTGGCGGTCTCAGCCAACTTCGCCCTAGTGGGGGGGGGGGGGGGCATATGTTGTCACCCACCTCTAACTCAAAAACTAAGAGGGCTAGAAAGACGCGGTAAAAAGCAGTCGATAGCTCTCAATGCGTTGGTTTGAAAGTATATCAGTCATTTTTCATCTTAGAGCAATATTGGGGTCACCAGAGGTCATCAAAGGTCAAAATTTGCCAATTGTCATTATGTTTTTCAGAAAACATGCCGTTATCTCAGAAACTATGGTAGCTAGAAAAACGCAAAAGGAAAAGCAATCGATAGCTTTCGAACTCTTCTTTTGAAAAGGTCATTATCAAAATTGACCTCAGGTCAACGGTTTAGCCTCCAGACGGCAAAAACTCCAAAAATAGCTGTTTTTTACGAAAAGTGTTTTTCGACAATAACTTTCGACTACAAAAAGCCACGACATTTCTATTGCCAGAATCGTGTTCCTCTCGCCGAGACGCGGCGAATGAACTATAAGTTGACCTTGAAAGGTCAACTTGAAAATTTGACCTCAGGTCAAGGAACCGGAAAAGGTCATGTTGCATATTAGTCGATGCGTCTCAACAAGACAAACACAATGAGACCATCCCCAGCGTTCTATCTCTTTCCAATCGCGAGTTATTGGCAAAAAACTGTTTGTAGCCTCAAATGACCTCGGATGACATTTCTAGAGACTATCAGCAAAAATGACGCCTTGGTCATCACGGGTGGTCCAAATCATTGTGATTCTGAAATATTTGGACTGTTCCTATGCGTACACATGGATCTAGAGGCATTTTCATTTTTCTCCGTTGACTTATAATGGAAAGGTCACGCCACTGACCTGACCTTAGGTCACAGATATAAAAAATCCGAGATATACAAATTGTAGGCGCCCATAACAGCATGCAATCCACCAAGTTTAAAACCTTTCTGACAAAGACTGCAGGCTGGACATGATTGCAAACTTTTTTAGGCTTGGTCAGTTAACTTGACCTGGTGACCTGACCTGACATGACCTGGGGTCAAAAATTTCACACCTTGTCCAAAATTGATGAACCAAAAGCTACCCCAAACGGCGCGGCGCTACGCGCCGCGGTTTTTTATTCACACGCGAAAAACGCGACAGGGTGGTAACATATGCCCCCCCCCCGCCCACTGGGGCGAAGGTTAAGTGATAATTTGCAAGCCGTCTTTTTCTCGAAAGGTGATGTAATTATCCAATTTTACCTCATTTGCTCCCTTACCACGATTTTTAAACATCATCTTGCATGCTTAGTGCTTACTGCACCTAGTAATCGTGCTAAATACGGCGCCGGTAATTTCCGTTCATTGTTCATGGTGCGTGTTGCACTCGTCCGTTCGGTTGATCGATGGCAATGTGTTAATTAGCCTCATAAGTAGGAAATACTCCCGGAAGATGGCCTAATGAACTAGCGCAGTCAGGCCAAGTAATTGGTATGCGAGCCTCGTGATAGACCAGGCTAACCCATTTCGTGGAATTCGGCTGTCCCACCATTGATCCGACGCTTTACAATGTGATAAGAAAGCTGTGCTACTGCAGTGACGTACCCAAGGGGGGGGGGGGCACGGGGGCCATGCCCCCCCCCCCTGAGCGCCGAAGGCGCGAGGGAGGGGGCCCCTGCGGTCCATAGATAACTCTGGTGGACCTAGCACGCCGAAGGCGTGCTAGATCCCTGTGCCTTAATTCCAATGCTAGATAGAATGTCTTTTACTCGAAAGAAAAAATAATATCGAAGAGGGATTATGTCACGGTGACGAGCCCACAGCGCCTCTTTCTAACTGAGGGCCACTGGTTACCTGAGTGGCCCCTGGTCACATGAGGGGCCCCTGGCCATCTGAGGGGCCCTGGTCACCTGAGGGCCCCCCTGGTCATCTGAGGGGCTCCCTGGTCACCTGAAAGGCCTTCTGGTTACCTCACTGGTCACCTGAGAGGACCCCTGGTCAACTGATTGGCTCCTAACTACCTGAGGGCCCCCTGGTCACCTGAGGGGCCTCCTGGTCACCTGAGGGGCCCCCTGGTCATCTGAGGGGCCCCTGACTACCTGAGGGGCCTCCTGGTCACCTGAGAGAGGCCCCCTGGTTACCTGAGGGGCCCCCTAGTCGCTTGAGGGGCCTCTGGTCACCTAAGGGGCCCCCTAATTACCTCACTGGTCACCTGAGGGCCCCCTGGTCATCGGAGCGGCCCCTGGCCATCTGAGGGACCTCCTGGTCACCTGAAAGGCTCCCTGGTTACCTGAGGGGCCCCTGATCACTTGAGGAGCCCCTAATCACCTGAGGGCCCCCCTAGTTACCTCACTGGTCACCTGAGGACCCCCTGGTCATCTGAGTGGATCCTGACCATCCGAGGGTCCCCTGGCCATCTGATGGGCCCCTGGTCACCTGAGGCCCCCTGGTTACCTCCGTGGTGGTCACCTTAGGGCCCCCTGGTCACCTGATGGACCGTGTTTATCCGGGAAATGTCTGGTTATCTGCAAGGCCCCTGCAGCCATATGAAGGCCCTTAGTTACGCGAGGGGCCCCTGATATAAATGACCCCTGTTTATAAGAGGGTTCCCTGGTCACTTAGTGGGATCTGGTCAATGGAAAGTCCCCTGGTCATTTGAGACGCCCCTGATTAAGGAGGCCCCTGATCACTTTGATTCAGTGGCATAGCCAGGGGGCTAGGGGGCATGTGGCCGTTATCGGGTTTAGGTTCCCTCGGGCCCGAGGGGCCCTGTGGTGCCAATTGGCGGCAGACAGAGGGTCCACGCTGACCATCTTTCAATTGAAAAGCACGCGACAGGGCTTGAGAGAGCAACTCGTGGGCTCGTATGTAGCCACACTCTCCAGAAGGGCCCCACGTCGGCTTCTGAGGGACCTTTGTCGGCCTCTGAGGGCTTAGCTGGCCAATGAGGGATCAGTTATAAGGGCCCCACATTCGTCTGTTATGGACCCACGACCCACATCAGTGCTTCTGAGTGCCCTCATAACAGCGCCTGCGAAAGCCCTCACCGCCACATCTAAGCGCCCCCCACCAGTGCCTCATGAGGGCCCACATTTGCAGCTCTAAGAGCCCCCACACCGGCGCCTCTGAGGGCCCTCCACTAGCACATCTGACGGCATTTACCAGCGACTCTGAGGGCTTTTGACCGGCTTCTGAGGGTCTCTTGTCGGCCTATGAAGAGCCACCAGTAACTTTCAGGGCCCCACACATGCCTATGATGACCCCCACCAGTGTCTCTATAACCCTAAGGCCCCCACAACGGCGCCTGTGAGGACCCCACACCGTTGCATCTGTTGATCTTTCACCGGCACCTCTGAGCGCCCCAGATCAGTGCCTCCGAGGGACCCACACAGGCGACTCTGAGACGCTCGCTCGCTACGCTCGCTCATAAGATTCTGCATTTTATGCATACTTTTCAGGCAAAAATGACGTTTTCGCCTTCCAATTTTCCACATTTTCTTAGGGCTAAGACCGTTACAGATGGGCCCGTCTGCAAGGGAGGACTGGGCCCGCTGTACCCAGCCCCCCCCCCCCCCATCGAAAGGTTCTGAGCACGCCCCCTGCCTAGGCTGGCAGGGGGCGCCCTAAAGCCCCAATTAACAAACAAGGCTGGCAGGGGGCCCCCGGGTGACCAGGGGGCCCCTTTGAGAGCAGGTGGCCCCCTCCTGGGCAAAATCCTGGGTAGGTACGTGCCTGTGCTACTGTGTGTTGACTGTTGATATCCTAACAATGCATAATTACACTAAAGAATTGCATTCGTGAATTGTGTTCCGGTTTCAACATAACCGGTTTCAACATAACAAAAGCGGCTGTTAAAATTTGAACTTGTGTTTTTAATCATTAATTAATTCAAACTCATTGTTAATCAAGTAATGAGTTGCACCTCTCTGCAGTGTCCTCGGATACACCTCTCTGGGTTGACCCGAGTTACACCTCTCTGGAGTGTCCTCGGGATACGCCTCTCAGTCCTTCACACTCACTGTTTGTGCTCGAAGTCGGCGTTAAACACACAGCAGTAGCCGAAATCGGTGTGGTGCGGCTCGAACAGCTCCTTACACGAGTGGGGCGTGTTGCGCCACGAGCAGGCGGAGATCATCTCCTCGCAGGATGGTGACGTCTGTGGACGAACATAGCGTGAGCGCAACCAACTGTCGGCTGATCGTAGTGCATACCAGGGTCAGTTGAAGCTGTTTCAGCTATTGGTCATGATAGGATGCCTCCAGAGGTCATCTAGACTCATTTTTATATTTGCCGACTGGGATCGTCTTTTTCTCCGCCAATGGTGCCGTAGCTCGTTATACACTATCTAATAGCAGAGCTATAGCACCTAATAGCAGAGCTAGCACATCGCCTGCGTTTCGCCGACTTTCCACTGTATGAAGAATGTGCGGTCAGCTTCTCGACAGAATGGGCGCCGATGACAATACCCCTTGGGCCTGGTAACACCCATGTTCCGGTACCACTGACCAGCTCTATGATGCGGAGCACCTGCTCGGTGGTGAAGTGCTCCTCGTCGTGAAGCTCGTGGCACTGGTCACCCTCGCAGCTAGTGGTGGCATAGATGTTCTCCAGCACGTGCTCGACACGCTCGTGCCACTCTGTGTCGTTGGCAAACACCACTCTGTCGAACAGGGGCGCGAGCAGGGCAGTGTAACTGTATACGTCAGTGATGGCTGCACACTGATGTCGATGGGATTCACACGCCTGAGAGGTGGTCTGGTGAAGTCTTATTTACCTGCGTACCAACGGACCGAGGTACACCCGCCTGGCACATCGATATTGCGCTACATTGCTCGAGCTCTTTTGTTAGCAAACTTTTGAAGCATGCATAGACACTTGAAGACAGTTGGACGCTTCAAATCGGCATTGTGTATGATAAATGGTCTATCTTCGTCAACTGTGAAGCCTTCGCAGCAGTCCAACGGGTTTAAACTGAACACTAGCGATCGATACACCCTCAAGCTTGTTCCAACATCCCCGAGGCAGGTTTTCCCACTTACCTGAACCCTAACCCTAGCGACTCAGCGAGCCTGACTAGCACCACGCAGCATACCATATTTCCGATCGCGCTTGTCGGGTGGCATGCGCCGGTTGTCGAGCCTCGCACGGCACCGGCTGTCAAGGCTGGTTCGAAGCCGGTTGTCGACTGTCGAGTCCCTCTCACCTTCCCAGCACCTGCTGTTGGTCAGGCGGCATGCGTCGGCTGTCGATCTTGTTCATGTTGCACACGGTCAGTGCCGGGAAGCGCAGCCGGTGCACGGGATAGTCGGTGTTGTCGATGCTCAGCAGTGTTGGCGTGTAGTAGTAGGTGATGACCACGCGGTAGATGAAATAGCCAGAGGCGATCACCATGGCGAGAAGAATGGCCAGCCAGTAACACCTGCCGGGAGGGTTAAGTGGGGTCGCGCGAGGGATAATGTGGTTAGGGGCGTTTGTTCATGATATTATAAACAAAACAGCAGACCAAACGTGATCTTTTTTCATCAATGCATGACGAAAAATGCTTATGCTTTTGGATTGTAAGCCCCGTAATGCGTCGCATACCTATACGCGTGTGTACGTAATGTCATATTCTATGTATGAAATAAACTTTCAGTTAACAGAACAAAAAAGCAGTTTTAGTTGAACAATTTCCAGATGTGCGGATATCTTTCATGGGGACCAGCAGTCGTCCTAATGTGAAACGGAACGTCCTCTGTCGTTTGTCCTCCATTATGGCTTATAAGCCAGTAGCCACATTAATGCGTGGTTTACTGAGCTGCGAGTTTTTCGCAGTTATCGTGATTCGTTGCGTCATCATCTGTTGGTATTCCACAGATGCCTACCCTTAGGTAGGCATCTGTTCTCGGGCGAGAATCTAGATGCATGGGGTGGGGTATCGGACATCTCAAGACTCTTTTCATTTATGCAAAATTGATTTTACCAATGATGACTTATGTTAGGTGAATTAAAAAAAGAAATAGTTATTTAGGATGTTTGAATGCCTCCTTGATAATGACGTCTAGCTAGTCCAGTCCACACCTGCCACACATAGTATTATAGTAATATTGTTCGTGACTAGCTCCTCTAGCATGTACATTCTACCATTTTAATTACCGGTTGTGCATTACTTGCGGCGCTACGCACGACATTTCCACCGAGACATGGCGTGGAAGGACGGCCAAAGTTCGGTGGTACTGTTATCGTCCCGATCGGCCGAGACGATAACAGTAATCGGCCGGGTTTTCAATCAGTTACAACGCAGAATGCGTTTATTCCGTTATCCTGTCGTGACTCGTATCTACGCGGACTGCAGTCATATTCTGTGACTAATTTGTTCACTTTCAACACAAGTGCCAGACGTAATATGCACCGGTCCGACTACGCTGGCTATTTGTCGGTTGGAGCATGTTCAGGGGGATCCCCTAGGGACTCAAGTTTGTTATAGCAAACGGTCAATACAGGCCACGTCGTTTTCCATGTATATTGTATACCTGGTCCCATTTGCACTGCCCGAGGCACTTACAATTTCGGGAAAACTACCTCGACTGATGGTTCCTCGGTGCCCGCGGTGTTTGTGTTTGAAGGATGTGTTGTGCTGAGGTCATTGCTTTGTTTCTGTAGCATTCTGTATGCAGAATACGGTTTGCCTTGAGGACACTAGAGCTAACGGTCACTTGCTGCGAAGCAAGACGTGGATAAAATATGAAAATTGTTATTGGTTTCCGCACTCCCGACAGCTGGGGTGTCATTGGTTTCTCGTAATGGCCATTGTGGCGGGCATATGTATTTAGCAGAGTGAGGCCTGGCCAATGGCCATCATTTCCGCACTCCCGACAGCTGGGGTGTCATTGGTTTCTCGTAATGGCCATTGTGGCGGGCATATGTATTTAGCAGAGTGAGGCCTGGCCAATGGCCATCATACAATAGGTACAATGCGTGAGAAAGGAATTTGTTAGGGCTCGGCCGCTCGGTGCTACATAAGAGCAATGTGAGTGGGGCAATTGATAAGATAAGATAAACAACAATGACTTCTTCATATTTTTTATGTGTGCAAGCTAGGCATATAACTTCGCAGTTCCACGCTTGTCGATGCTCATTGCTCATGCTATCTCACTCACCTATCCCAACCGCTGGCTGTCTGTAGGTACTTGATGCCGTGCAATGTTGTGTTATTGCAATATTCTTCCAGGAGACAGTCATCTTCTTCTGCGATCTGCAATATTTCGAGACGCAATGCATTAATGACTGGTGTGCCTTGTGTAACGTAGGAATTAAATATCTCGGTTAGGCCCGCGTTTATCTTTGTATGCATCTCACAGTGACAGCTCACTCTTCGATCGCAAACTTCTAACATTTGGGTCTTACCCGTGGTTGTGTGGGTTGCTCTGTGGAGCTTTGGGTGAGTTTTGGTGGCGTAACAAATCTCCAGTCTTGCGGTCGGTTCGGGTAGATTTTGATCACGTTCTTCTCCCGCGCTGCCTGTACCAACAAACGACAGAAACATATAAACTACAAAGCATGCTTTGTGAATGCACAATTTGTCAGCAATAATGGTTTCATCAAGTTGTTGAGCAGCCGCTCCAACTCACCCTGGCTGTCCGCAGCAGACCTGCCGACACACGGCGCGTTTGGTCGACCTTCGTCATTCTCTCGGCTGTCGCGCTCGACGCTGGCGCCCGTCGCGGTCGACGTTGCCGCCCTCTCCTCGCCGTCGTTCGGGGTCGACTCCGTGTCTGTGCCAGTGGACAGCCGTCCCACCCCAGCAGCCCAGTTCGCTGTCCCTCCACCAATGCGCACGCAATGCTCGGGCCACCTAAAGCGGCGCGTATCCACGGAAACCCATCGCATTATACCCCAGGATATCAATGAACGAAAGGCGCCATTTACTGACGCGAGCCGGTGGCAGTTGTAGTCGAAATGGACCATTGTTTGCGCCGCTGTGCTGTCGCTCAGTCAGTGGATTATTCAGTGGGAGGCTGCGCTGGGGCGTTGGGTCCCAAGGCTTGCGCCAGACGGTAATGGGTCACCTGGTTGCTGATGTATGACAGCATGATGAGGTCGGACTCGGTAGTCATGTGAAAATGCCGCGAAATTCGATATGCGAGTCTGGATGTGCCTATTGCACACAAAGGATGCTACGGAAATAATGATAGACCATTGTCAGGCTATTCACAGACTTGTGCCTACCGGCATACAGATGCCTACTGCCTAGTGAAGACAAATGTCGCCTACCTACTCACTGGTGCCTGGTAACTGCCAGAGCTTTTGTCATCACAGAGCTGCATGTGGCGTGTATGTTCGTGCTAGAATGGTCAGTCGCTCCGAATGCCTGGGACGTTTAGTCGTCGTGCCACCTGACGCTAAAGCTGGCTTCTTTTGCATCAGCAAAAGATGTGCTTTCTGATGTAATATTTTAGCGCAGTACACAGTATTATATAACTTCATAGCATTTCCTCATCCTGGGATGAAATATATCTGATATTAACATACATTTTCACTCGCTAGTGTATTTAAGCCTAGTCAAAAAAAAAAAAATATTAGTCCTATCAACAAATCGTTACGCTGCATTGAAATGTATGGGGTAGTGTTGATCATATCCGTAAAAAAATGATAGATGCTATCGGGATTGCTTCGATCTAGAAGTGACGTCCTGTTAATTTACCTATATTTTAGTTGCCTGAAGTTATTTCAAAACCGAAGTGTCCCGCTCGCCGCTACCGCTACGCCGCTAAATTATCTTTTTTGTGAATTTAGCTCGAATATTTAAACGGACGTACTGAGGGAGATGGAGTCCACGCTAAGCAGAGCTTGTTGCGTATCACCCCGACCTGTATATGTATGTAGGTACAGTCCGATTGGGTGATGTCTGGTAACGAGAAATCAAGACACCTGAAATTTGGAGATGGACTTATTTGGAAGAGAGCACGCATAGATCGAGGAGGAAAAGAAGCAACACACGTACATAAATAATTTATTAAGTACACAATACACAATACCATGTCCGTAGTCAGGTGTTCATATATGTATTTGCTTCACACAAATAACCTGTTATTTGCTGGCAATCATAGTTACGTGTTATGCCTATTTTTGTAGGGGAGAGTGGGGCAAAGCGGCCACCCGGGGCAAAGCGGCCACCCATCGTTTTAGCCCTTCATAGCTGGCGTCAGTTCCAATTTATGGTTTCCAATTATACTTCTCTTCACGGTCGTTCGAATGAGCCAGACCGGGGTTTCAGGCCCATCACCATTGTTCTGTGAAACACAGAAAAGCCTTTCTTGCCAGGTTACCAACTATGTTTACAATTTTTAAATGTTATGTTATTCCATAGCCGTTTGGAATTTTTACAAGCGCTCTTGTCCATGCATTGCATGGTTATCGTATATGTATTCTACCAATTTTATTGTTTTTTACTCCACTAATAGTTAAGCTGGAATATTTTTGTCTCGGACGGTATGCGCGGGGCAAAGTGGCCGGGGCAAAGTGGCCACCCCCCAATTTGCCATAAGTTGTTTCCATCTGGATAAACAACATTATTTATATTCAAATGTGTCCTCATGCATCCATCTTGGCCACTTTTCAGTTGCATGAGTTACCAAATAATGCAATTAAATGTTTTTTTTCATTAAAATCCTTTTTTGTTTATCTACAGGTGGAAGATGATAAAGTTAACATCCATCCTCGCTTAAACCTTGTCACCATCTAATAACCTAGTCGTACATGAGGCAAATATTTTCTTCCTCATATCGGGACTTGAGAAGACGCCGGTGGCCGCTTTGCCCCAGGGTATGGGGCAAAGTGGCCAATATGCATAGGTTTAAAGTTTTGTCAATATCTTCCATATGCGAACGCCTTTGGAAATGAAACGCAGTTGAAATAAAAGGCAACTTAATAGGGATCACATTGGTATAGAAAGGATCTTTCCAAGTTTAAAAATCAAGCGTTGGCATCGTGAGAAGCGTTAGGGTGGCCGCTTTGCCCCACTATCCCCTACATCAATTGGCAGCCGCCAACTGGAATGTTCCGACATTGTGACCTGCGTATGCTGTGGAGCTCATAAAATAACCAACTTCCATCGCGTGCTATGACTAGGCGCGAGCACTATTTGAAAATCCCTCCTAGAGTGACAACTATTCACCTTATTGTCTGGAAATCAGATATTATATCACCAGAGCAACCACTTTACATAGTCCTTGACATTGTATAAACGAAAACAGCATAACTGTCAAAACGGCTACATAAACAATGAATTGATTGCCAAGCATAACGCAACGCAAATTCATCCAGTAATCACGCGCGCTAGGCGTGCTGGTGCCCCGCCTGCGTGTCTGGCTCGTGGACGGACGGCCGGGCCCCTCAGACTCGGGCGGGGTGGCTCCGCCTGGGGCGAGTTCGTAGGACGGGCTCTCCCAGAGGGTCTCCCCGGCGGCACGGCCTGTCCGAGGGCGAGGGGCGACGCATCGCCAGCAGTGAGTCCAGCACGTCGTCCATGGTGACGGACGCCAGACGCTTAGTGACAGCGTCGGCACCGTCGTCGGCGTCAATGTCGCTGACGACTCCGCCGTCTGCGCAGAGAACTGTGTGAGGGCTAGGCAAGTGGGCAAACGTAATAATACAGTATGGAGAGCGCGGAAAATCGCTTCTATGATGACTGACTCGCATAATGTCGGTTAAATGTTGAAACGTTTAGGTACCATTTTATCAGTTTTTTTTTTAACAATACATTTATGGTGAGTGAGCATTAGAACCAAAAACAGTAATTGACGGGGGCATTATCATATCACAAAAGGAATATGGGTTCCTACATTATGGACGGAAAACTGATATAGAGAGTTTTAGGTTTAATTATCGAAAGTTAAAAAAGAAATGGAAACAATTTCATTCTATATAGTTGGTATAAACAATCTCAAGTTTTCATTACATCGCAAAAACACGACTTCGGTGGTAAGACATGCGGACTTTGCCACTCCAGGCACTACACTCGAAATCAACATTCAACAGCTCTCAAGCGTCATGCATAGCATAACATTCATTCAAACTTGTTTGCGGAAAATTGTGAGAATTAGTAGGTAGGTACGCAAAAATTATTTCCAACTAAAAAGATTTGCCCTATAATTACAACTTTTCCTTGTAAGTGATTAACGTCTGCGACTAATATGCAAGGCATTTTAAAAAGTGACCCCGAAAGCCCTGCCAGGTTTGTTGTAATATAATTCGTTCGCAATAGTCTATGATCTCGCGTTGTGTTCAAAAATGAAGTCGTTCTCTTCAGTTTATATTGGCTTTAGTCAAAATGAGATTAGTCGGTCCGAGACTCAAATCGGCTCGGTTGAACGTCTCTCCGGCGAGTCTGTCCTGTCGACTCGTGGCGGCCACGGCCGCACCTCGGCTCGACCGGTATACAATCATGCGTCATACATGTACGTCATATCCCGGGGCCAATAAGGAAAGGATTACCATATAAGGAATTAAAGCTGGGCGGTGGGACAAGGAGGCTATTTGATAGGACAGTAGGTTACTTCGTTACATTTGTGGCCCGTCTTATGGAGCCGTGCCAGACTTGCCACGATTTTAACCCGCGCACCGACGGGGGTCTGCGCCAACTTCGCATCGACGGGGGGGGGGGCGGATGACCGCCCCCCCCCCTGAGATCTCGATACGCACGGTCAAGATCTACAATTTTTACTAAGGTCATTTTCAGGTCAGGTCAAAGATGACGTCACAGGGGTCGAAAAAGTCAAAATGGCGGTGCTAGATATGGAGAGAGTTTTTCTCGAATAACTTTCGAATAAGTAAAGATAGGAACAAACTAAGGGCATCATCGTGATCCTCTCGTCAATCCGCATCGAATGATATTTATGTTGACCTCGAAAGGTCAAGGTCAAAGGTTGACCTCAGGTCACGTGACCTCGAGGTCAACATGTATATCATTCGATGCGTCTTGACGAGCTGAACACAATGAGACCATCCACGCGGCTGTATCTTGTTCCTGTACGGAGTTATTGGCCAAAAACCTTTGGTGACCTTTGATGACGTCACATGACCTCACAGCTGCCCAACAGCAAAATAGACCTCAAGGTAGTGAAGGTTGATCGTATATGAAGTCATGTATGGTATATGGGGCCATTCCGACCCGTTTTAGTGGTAAAAATAGGGAGTTGATTTTTCCCCCATTGACTTATAATGGGGAGGTCGCGAAATTGACCTGACCTTAGGTCACCGATATCAAAATTCCGAGATATACAAATTGTAGCTACTAATGACCTTATAACATCCTGCGACTTTCAAAGGCCTCCGACATCTACTGTAGCTCTGGCACGGTGACAAAGTTGCAAAAAAAGTGACTTGAGGTTGGGTCATTCAAAGTGACCTGGTGACCTGACCTTAAAAGGTAGGAGGTTCAAACTTGCACACCATGTGTAAAATTGATGAGGGAATAGTCATACCAAATTTCGCGGCGCTACGCGCCGCAGTTTTCCCGCTATTCGCGAAAAACCTCAGGGGGGGCGGATATCCGCCCCCCCGTCGGTGCGCGGGTTAAATATAAGTTACCTAGAGACAAAACAAACCAAGACATTGCATTTTGCAATAATGGAAGCTCAGGTGCACCTTTGTTGTCTACCTATCGTAGTTTCTTTCATAGCATTGTATTGTGTATGCATTGATTGTTTTTGAAACGATGGTGAATTATTTTTTAGTGTTAATGGTTAGTATAAGTAAAAAAAAGATTCACTACGTGCAAGAATAACGGAACGAACACAGATGAGATTAGTAGCATAGGAATCACATAGGCAAAAGTTATTGGGTTGAGTGCATTGCAAACTCCTATTTCAAAACCACTTCCATTGTGAATGACGCTGTTACCTCTTCAGTGCAGAACCATGCCGCTTACTGACAAGAAAAAAAAAACTAACGGAGTTAGTCTCAAGAGCATTTTCCGCAACGTGCTAAACAAGGATAAATTCATGAGTAACGAGTTTTTGGTCAGCCAAGACTTTGATCAGACAAGACGGCAGGTGTAATCCTGCGGTGCCATTGCTTACGGAATACTCGCTAGATGTCGCTGGTAAAAGACGCCTGAATTAATACTGTACCGCAATGCACTCCACGAAAACCCAACACAGTGAGTGCATTGCGAAGGTTACAGGTGCCTACATGAACGTTATTACGCTGGATTGTTGCCATTTGGCGAAGCATGATAGTGCGTTTACTAGTTCTGACATGGCTTTTGGTGGTTGAATTAGGAGTCATCGATTTTACGGGCCAGCACATCACATGTGCTTATGTAGGTACCCCATTAAGAGCGCACGGAAGATCAGCAATCGGAGTACCCAAATAACCCATGGTACGCTGTTGCCTGTTTATGTAAGTGGCATCGCAAGTCAAGCTTTTTTCTTTCACCAGTTGGTTTTTTTCCTCGAGTTCGTATTTTTAAGACATTGGGAGCACACCCCTTAGAATAACAATACATCCAACAACGATGACAATAAAGCGATGGGTTTAAAGCAAACTGAATTCAAAGCGGCTAGCTTATAGAGCCATGCAGACGTAACTCACCTTTCCATTGATCGAGGAGCGTGCGCGCATGGTCAGGCCGAACCTAGTTAACTTCATGTAATCTTCGCACAAAATTGACTACATTACAGAGCACAACAATCATCGCACAGAAAAGATACTTGTTGGCCACTCTCATCATTTATTTAGAAAACAAACACTTCAGTTGAATATCCACGGGTGGAGACGCATACGCACAGCAGTCAGTGTCGTGAATAACCATTAAACCCGCACCTAGGATTTCACAAAGCGGAAGAATAACCAGTGTGTTCATTGGTAGAAGGGGAAGTAACTAGACGTTTACGTATTTATATGTTGGTGGGTGTATGTTTTGAGTGTAAGAGGATACGTCAAAACACTTTAACCAGTGTTACTTGTGTTAACGTGTGCATGTAACTACCAAATCAAAGAGCTCTACATAAAAATAGCCTAGCATCTGAGTGAGAAAAGCCCGGGAGATCTTTACTGGTGCCAATTATATATAATGCGGCTGCCGAGATAATACAAACGTAAAATATATACCTATATACACAATACATATCGGTTGTCACAGTCCGCATCACGCATCGCAGTGCTTACAATATTTACTACAAGCGTTCTTCAATAACAAACGCATCACCTATGTGCCAAGTCAGCCGACTTGCTCCTTCCACGTCCACGAATTATGGCTACCACAGAAAAACTCGCGTCAAACAATAGCCCGGACTTGATACTTTGGAACCATTCAAACGTCGTAGTGCGTGCCCAGATGGGTCACCAGCACAGATAGCACGACCACGGCAGTCACACACTTTCGGCCGGTGCTCATAAGGGAGACAGCCGGCCTATCACAAACGATACAGGCAGGCAGACAGGGCAGCGATAGAGGTGCAAACACACAGCTAAAGCGGACGCCGCCGAGGGAGCGGGCCCGGCAGCAGCCGGCGGGCGACGCTGCCAGGCACACTGCCGACGAAGCGGAAGCGAAAGCACACGGTGAAGCAGGGCACAAAGAGAAGGCAGCTGCCGCGATCACAGCTAGACGGTCAGCGGCCGCGTCAGACTGCGACAAACTCACCCAGCTCGAACCGCTCCTTCCTCGCGTCGCTGGGCGCCAGCAGTCGGTCGATAGTGCTGCCACCTTTTGTCGGCTCGCCAGAGCCCTCTGCCGGCCGGTTACCGACGAACGCAGTCTCCAGCCACATGGCACGGTGCTTTGAGGGCGATTCTTCCCTCGCCGTCCGCGCCGTTGCCGGTGATTCCATCCGACCGTTCTGGCCCTGAACATCAGGATCGAAATAATGTACAATTGCATCAGAAACTTCTCTAATGGACGTTTTCACATCATCGGTCGGCGGCGGGGGCCGCGCAGGGTCGGCGCTGGCCGGTGACTGCTCTGGTGGCGCCACCTGTCTCCGCACACCAGGAGTGCCGCGGAAGCTGCTGGCCAGTCTCTCAACGGGCGTCTGGTAGCCCTGTCTGGTAAGCCTCTCCTGACTACGCCAGCCCAGGTAGGGCCGACGCAGACTCTGTGTAGCCGTCACGGCGGGGGCGCCCGTCGGGGGAGGCCCCGGCCGGCGCGCGCTGCCCGCAGAGGCCCGTCGGTACAGCGGTACAGGAGAGGCAGAGGCCGTGCCCGGTACAGAGGCGGTCTCACGGGCGGCACGGAACGAGCGCCAGTCGCCGCGCCGCGGCACCGGTGTGGGGGTGGCCGCTGAGCTGGTGGGTAGGCTCTCCTTGGAGTTTGACTTGGAGCTGAGCCCGGACCAGCCGCCTGAGGGTGACACGGACAGCCAGATGTCAGCACTGGAGATATCTGCTGCCACTTCGAAATAGAAAGGTTCACAGAAAGTTCAGTAACAAAGGCACGATGGTAAATGATACCTTGACGGCGATAAGAAATGCAAGCTCGACCGGGAAAAATCCTTTATCAGGAACGTAATGGATATAATCCAAAAATTTTCGCTCCCCATACAAATTATTAATGGACGTTACGCAAACATAAACCACCTCGCGCCTAAACCCAAACCTACAGTGTGAACGCACCCCTGCCGTTCCCGCGCCCACACCTACCCTGCAGTGAGGCGGTGTCCAGGTTCCTTCTGAGCGCGGCCGTCGGTGCCACGGCCGCCCTCCTGTACCACTCCGGGGTGTGCAGGTTCCGCAGGGAGCGCTGGAAGCGCAGTTCATGTCGGCTCAGCTGGCGCGCCGCCTCGCCGCCGCGCATCAGCTGATTCTCGGGCGGCTGAAAACGTCAGGTCAGGGGTCAGAGACGGCTGGGGGCCTCACTTAGCCCGGGTCCGGGTATTATCATCGATCCAGTGATAGCTGATAGTCGATAGACCCAGGGCGATAAGGGGATTCAATTAAAACGAGTCAATATTCACGAGCAAACATTATATTCTAATGCATACAGTAAGGCTTTTGGTCACATTTGCAAGAGAGCAATGGTAGGCAATGGATGGGCATCCATCCGTGACGGTTGACATGCCAATCACACCACGACTCGAAACAGCCAAACAAGCTAACGGTCTGGAATAGCGAGGTAGCTGAGACGTTTGTTTTGATAGCGGGACCGCATGTCGTGTTGATGAACTATGCAATCGCGGTTTTATAACAGGAATCGATCGCCCATATGTAGGTAACCCAAGCAGCGATTTACGAATACCATCAATGTCCACAGTGTGCTGTGAATGAAGATGATAGACAGATAAGCAGATGATTGAAGAAGAAAAGAGAAATGCCTGAAATGCATACAATAGAAATGCAGAAGATCAGAAAAGCCGCTGCGAAGTTGAGATAAACTATGATATCAAGAAGTCACCAGTCTGAGGACGGACTAGAGATCCCGACAGACGACAAAAAAAAAGACATACTGATAAATAACTGAGAAGGCGACGGATGAGAGGCGCCGACGCAGCCAAAGCCAGACGTCGGCTATAGCTGACTCACCCCCACCGCGAGGGAATAATAAAAGTATAAATAAAACCCAGACGACTAAGCCGACTCTAAGCGCAACAGTGCCTCTGTCCAGGATATCTACTAGCCAACTGCGACACAGCGGCCTCAGCACAAACGGCGCGGCACCACGTGCGCCAAAGGAGGATGTGCCAATAATTAGACAATGTTCCGCTGTCATCAGCATAACAGGCGCTCATGGACGGGACTAATTTGGTCCCTGTTACCGAGCCTAGGGTGGTCTATCGGAATAAGGTTAGTCGCTTCAGTTTTCGGACGCATTCTTGACTGACACCCACAGATCCTGATCTCAACTCTTCGCCTCTTATTCATTTCGCTGGATAACTGATGTTTGCAAAATGCACAGGCACCCTGCCTTGCACTGCGGTGACATAATCGTCACGGTAAAATAAGAACAGTGGCCTCAATACACACGACACACAGTAACGCCGCCGAAACTGAAACCAGCGGGGCTCGTGTAAAAACAGCGCCCGGAAAAAGCGCGCGCGCCGTGTCTGGTGGCGCGCCGGCGGCCGGCAGGTACGGCGCGGGCGCGGGACTCGGAGACGGCACCCACGGCGGCCGCCCCGCCTACTGAACGACGCCAGCGGCGGGGACAGTGGGAAACGGCGCGCTCGCCCCGCGCGCAAATGTGGAGAAACTGAGCTGCAGAACACAGCGTCCAGCTGTGATACTTCAGGAGTTATGTGTATGTGAAATGCACCTTACCCCATGTGTATAACGAGCGTGCACGCCTGTTGAATGTCACCCGCGCTGACTGGACAGTAGAATGCAATTGTGTGCTTCTTTGGGCCATTATAGGGTGCGCGCACACTGGCACTGCACGTCACCGATAAGTGGAGGAGAAAGGGCAACTGCGCATTTCCGCTTCTTTATACTACCTGTGACCTTATACTTAACCTGTGAGCTATAAGAATGTATATGGTCGCGATAGGGGAGCGCTACTATGTAATCCAAATTTTATCGCGTATTGGACCGAAAACTGTAAACAAATAAACGTTTATCAACGGACGCGTAACTAGTACATGTAGGTATGTACCAAGCGTCTGGTGATAGACGTTTATTTCATTTTATCCTACATGCACCACTCGGCCTTAGCTTGGCGCCAGAGCAGCGAGAAGAGTTTCCACTGCCAAAAAAGAGCCTGTAGGGATTTGTAGGGACTTGGACTCTTTTCGCTTGAGAATTGCAATATCAGCGAGTTACACACTATAAACAGCACATATCCAGTAAACGGTACATGCATAAACAGCACCGTTCTGCTGAAAACCGTACGAATAACTGCGACAAGAGGCCACTGCGATTGTGCGGACATATGGCTCCACTGTAAGTACACCCGAATAGACACGTGCAAGGCAAATTCGACATGTAAGCAAGCGAACTATGCCGGCGCGACGCCAGGTAAGCAGTGTGTTTACACAACTCCAGTGTAAACTTCCAACCTCGGTACCGCCAGCGCCTCACGCCCGTTTGAACAACACAGAGCGGGCGCGTCAAATAGCAGCAGCTTATCAGCAAACGAAAACTGAAAATACACCGCTCTCGGTGTCCCATTGTTGCTTCCGACCGGAAGCGCGGAAATGGGACCGCACCGGTGCGCGATCTTATCGGACGGTTGATAGGAGGTACCCACACGCGTGTTTCCGGCGTGCCAGCGCTGCAAACACGGGGCATCGAACGCGACAGGTGAACTCGAGGCCGCCTTTCTCTGCGATTCGAGGACTCGAAACAGCCCGGCGAGGGCGTCAGGACTGTGTATGACAGTTCGATGGCCTGTTATAGATAGTTTGATAGCGCGCAGATGCTCAGTTTCAGGGGCTGGCTGCTCGGTCTGAATCGGTCAGAACGGGCCCGGAGTCCCGGGTTTAGGGCAGCTCATAACTGCCCGAAAGCCTAGTCTTTGAACAGCACAGGACAGCTCGACAGTCCGCTATCAGGAAAGACAGCCAGGTTTTCATATAGGCCGATAGAAGGTATCCGGGCAGGGTTCGGTATGTATATTAAAAAAGTCATGTGTTGAACAGTCTGAGGCTTTGATAGCCAGGTCACTGAGAGGCATCTAGACGTGAGTCGTATGTCCTCGGATCCAGGACAGCCTGCCCATCGGCGAACCGTCCATGGGGTATGTGTCATGTGTCACGCTTCGAAAATGCACTGAGTTCAGCGTGCCGGCCGGTTTAGCCCAGCAAAACGATGAAGGCATGCAGCTATGAATCAGTTAAACGGTTGGCTCTGATACTGCACGCAAATATGGAGTTACATCCGATAAAATAAGTCTATCCCATTCCAGCTTCATGGCTTAAGTTCCAGGTCTTCGTGCAGTGCAGTGCGTGCAAGCGCTGGTACTAACCGAGTGCCAATTTACTCCACCTCTCAGCAGGTGCCCCGTGCCAGACACTCGGCACGCTCCGACTACCCATATCTACCTAACAGGAGTCCACTCTGCCCGACCTGCCGCGCCGGTCACCGCCGCATAACGTCGAGCCACACGGCGGTATCCCATGGCGCCTCAGAGTGACCGTCCGCCACCCGGCGATCCGAGGGGCCGCGACGAGCTCTAATGTGTGTCTGGGCAGCTGGCCAGCCGAATAGAGCGCCCCACTTTGTTTTCTAACCAGCGTCATTAATCGAACTCCACTGACGAAGCCGTCGAGGACGCTGGAACGCAAAGCTGGACTCCGTTCTCGGTACAATTACAGCATGAATTAGATTGCTACCAGCTGATAAATGGTTACGGTAATACGAATAATTACATTTATTACGGCCTGAGTTGAGGCTGTAGTTCGCACTAGCGTGCATTAGTTCGGCAAGGCGCGTGGAGCTTCTTATCTGTGAATCCGATCAGCGCTGAGGTTTGACAATATCGATGTCGTGCACCACCGGCCTGTGCGCAGTTGCAGCATATAAATGCAGTGACTGTCCCAGGAAAACATCATAAAACACGCAGCGCGCGCTTTTCTGCAGAATATGGAGCTGGTGGAAGATGTAATCTCGAAGTCAGTGCATTATACCACATTTCGCTCGTAAGCACTGCGATGTAACATCACTACAGCACAACTGTTGTGCCCAAAGGCAGATGCATGTAGGCAGCTATGATGTTAACAGTAATGAATAACACATTAACAGTGCTATTTATATATGAAGAAGGTATTATGCTGCATATAAAAACATAGTTATGTAATTTTCCTTCCAGCTTCATAAGCCAATTTCAATCCCACTGAAGCCATCGTCATGGGAGACCTATCTCCTCAGCTGGCCTCTGGCTGTCAGCGTCCCGGCGCCTCTGTGCGGTCACCTGACCTCGACAGTGGACCACTTGGCCCGCGCCCTGTGCCGGTGACCGCGCTATGACACGGTGGCAGGACCCGCGTCATCCGAGTGGCGGTCAGCACCCTGGCAGCGGCGCTGGCGTCCGTCCGACTGCCAAACGACAGCCGAGCTGTCAACTGCCGCCGTCCGACACGTCCCTACCGGCGGTGCTCCGGCTGACAGGGTTCGGAGTTCACCTCTGAGGGACACGGTGATACAGACTCCCGCTGGTCTGACATGTTTGTAGACTGTCCGACCACCGTCCATCTTCTGGCCCAGACAGTTCCTCCATGCGACAGCTCGGTGCACAAACGCCGACCCGCGCCGGACGCCGTCCAAGAATGCGCCAACTATCCGAGGCTGCCTCCGAGTGGCATGTGGCAGCGAAGTCGCCAGCCGTAACCCCAAAATGCCCACTCACCTCTTCACGGTGGGAAAACCTCAAAGAGCACCGCAGGAAAAATAGCTCGCCGACTATCCGTCATAGCGGCTCGGGGCCCGGGCCAGGTCGTTGGCCACGCCTGCCTGCCACCGGAAGGTCAGGAGAGACGACGCTATGGGGATCTCCTCTGAACATGTCACGAGGTGCTCCAGAATTCTTCACAACGCAGAAAGACGAACCGCTCTGGCTGTCGTGCCCTCCACGAGGCACGAGCTCCTAGTTCGTTCGTTTGCATATTCGCTCTAACCCTCTGGATGGTCTATGGCGGAATTTCGGCGGCTATTTGTAAGCGCGTGCCGACTGTTTTGCACCTGGTGACAACACCCGCGCGAGCGGAGACGACGATGGCGACAAAAACGCACCCGGATGGGGCCCGAGCAGGAGATGGGCCGTGGAGGGGTGCCAGCGGCGCAACCTGAGCCGATGGCACGCGACCGTCGCGACCGCCACCAGCAGAGAGCGACTATTTTTATGCGTCTGACAAAACAGATGTTTCTTGATAGAGTGGATAGGTG